ATGAAAGCGGCTATTACCTACATATTAAAAACAATTAAAACAATTTATACATTGGTAAAATCTCCTTGCGAAATGATTTCCTATCTATTCGATAGATGGCGCTGAATGTCTGACAAGATGACACGAAAATAAAGAGCAAAAAGCCAACATCACGTGGTATTCCCAGGCGGTCACCCATCCAAGTACTAACCACGCCCGATGTTGCTTAACTTCGGTGATCGGACGAGAACCGGTGTATTCAACATGGTATGGACGTTGGCGAACGTTAAAGCAAATTTAATGTATGGTATCCACAGTTAGACGTCAATTTATATTAAAAGTGTCGTTCCAAATTTTCGTACGAATTTTTTCCGTCTAGCCCCCTTTCACAACGCGCGATAAGGAATTTCGTTCCAATAATCAAAGTGAAGTAAAACACAGCACATATACACTTAAACCTAATTAATTCGAATAAGGCTCAAGATGAAAGAGTCATAAGATATTTCTACAACATGGCAAGTTTCAACAAGATTAGAATTTTCACTATTAATATAACATGTTCAACATGATGTGAGGCTAAGCTTCATAAGACACTGTCCTGTGAGGACTTATACTCGTAGTATGTGAGGCAAATGTCGGCTACCGATAACTGCACAGAACTTGGTAGAAGTTTGCAAAGATCACAAAATGAGTGTTTATCTAAGAAAGTGTATAGGTAGCACAATATTAATGCACATGGCCTAAGAATCACAAGCTTCGATTCAGGAAGGTTCTCACTGGTAAACACAGTTTTACTTGCTGTATATTTCGGGGATGGCCGCCGGCGATGAGAGTCGCCTGATACATTCACGGCAAGACACCCGCCGTGAAAGTCGGTAAATCAGTTTAAAAATAGGTAGTTTAACTGCTGCATGTCATAATTCACAATCATTATAAAATTGCCAGCTTTTATTAAAAACAATTTTATACAAGTCAATAAAAAACCTAAATGTGCATTGAGACCAACTTGTCAGTGTCAATAAAGGACAATGGCAGGTCCCCATACATAATTTTATTTGAACTGAAATGTTAGCGTTTAAATATCAAAAAATCCTTAACACTTGAGAATTAATTCTTGACCATTCTCATATCAAAATTACTTGCGAAAGAAGTCTAGGAAAAAAGATATTAGATTTTGAATGTTACGAGGTTAAGTACTAACATATTGTTAATGTTTTGTTTGAAACTAGATGGCGTTGTGTGTCAGATAGCCGAAAATATTATTTTCATTATTATTACAGTATATGAAATAAAAAAAATAAAAGCTTATCATCTATTCGAGAGTACTAAATTAAACAAAAATAAAATAACAAACGTGGTGAGTCCGGAACTTGACAGGATCTAAACCACAGATTAAGAGATATGTACTAAACGACGACGTATCGACATTTTGAAAATATCGATGTATGTCTATTTATGTGCCGTTATCAATGACAATTTATTTTTCTCATCACACTGTGTAGTGGAAAATAACGTAACTATATTCCATTTCTTTAGTGTGTTTAAAATCGTTTAAAGAGAGTCAAAAATATTTTAAATCATTTCTAATTATGTTGATTCAGTCACTCTACCGTACGAGTGAAGACGTGGGCAGAAGCAAATTCATAATCATAATAGTGAACCTTCGGTAAATATTTCAGCCAAAGCTATAAGAATCGATTATCGATAAATTGTTCCATAATATAATATTGCCACCACGCATCCCTAGTCAGTTATACGTGATGGCGAATCTGACATAACGTACTTAGGTCAAATAAAATCTTCAAAATATCTTATCTCTTATAAGACTTATACAACACATGGTGGTGTAATGATAAATCATAGAAAAAAAATTGATTAAGTTTACTGTGACTCGATTTTTTAAACGCTTAAGTTTTAGGTAAATATGTTTCTGTCATTGTTCTTTCTAAATGTACAGTATTTATACCAAGTTGGAAAAACAGCTAAGCTAACTAAATTCAATGGCCGCAGTCCTGGGAAGCTTGTGAAACTGTCGTGGGGTTGCACTCGTCAGACATGATTACAAATTTCAAGGATCCACCATATTTGTTCTGTTCCACAAGCAGTTTATCAAAGCAATATTTCGAAACGGTCGAATGTTCCTATAGAGACATAGTTACATCTAGGCAGGTACTCAAGATATTAGAAAGATTGACAAAGGTAAATCGCATGCAAGTTCTAACTTAGAACCCTGTCACAGTAACAACTGGTCAGTGTATTGGACCTCATTATTGGCTACATTCCTTGGTTCGCGGACTGTCCCTGTAAGATCAATATACTTGACCTCACCGGGACATACTTACATATTAATACTTTATTATTTATATAATACTGTGTAGACATAACTTCTTAACACCTAGTTGAGGTCCAATAGTTACTTTCTAAGTTACCAGGCCACTCAGAAAGTTTCGCGGAAAAGAATTATTATGTACGAACATTGAAAGGTTGACTTAACTTTAAAATAGGATTATTTAGAATGCATCTACATCAGGATGAATTGTATTAAACTTAATTTTTAATTACTTACTTAATTTGTCAAGTCTGTTCATAAATTAAGGGGTTCTAAGGTACCAAATATAAAGATTTTTTTTTTACCGAAAACTGAAAATTAACTCAGATGAATCGGTTGTTATACTTAAAATTGTATTTTTTGGTAAAGCCAATAATGTGTACCGATTTTTAGATTGACAAACTTTTGGATTTAATAAAAAAATTGAAGTTTGAAAGAAAAACTTTTCGGTTCCTCAAAATTTACTGAGTGTCCCACAGTCAGTGTCAGTTACACATCACCGATAAACACGCTGGAGTTAGAGTGTTTAGTATCACGTCTCCGGTCAGAGTTAGCTAGCTGCATCACCAAGATAATGTCCAGACAACATATATTTACCAGGAGACATCGTAACGTATTCACGTTTTGCTTCAATTGTATGAAGTTACTTCTCATTTAGATTTTCATAACCAGAGCCGTTACGAGCTGAACACCAACAAACACTAAATAAAATATTTCATAATACTTCCGAGGTTTCGTACGATAGTCACACTGGTCCTATACATTACTTACTTGTATTAGCCCCGAACACGACCAATGGAAATGTAGACCGACTCCAGCATATTTATTGGTAAATATCTATCGATATATTAAAATATATGAATATATTAGTAAGTGACAAGGTCCTACTGCCCCTAGTGGAGCTGTGGAAAAGTTAATTTAGTAAATATAATCTATCTACGTATAATACTGAGTAAGTATTGCTCTTCGTTTCTTTTAATAAAGAATTTATTGTGAAGCAGACAGTAATAAGTGTGTTTATAATCCTACAGTGAAGGACACTTTGGTTTGGCACTTGTGTTCGTATTGTCGCTAGTTGATCGGATTACTTTATGTAAGGCAAGCTCTAAAGCAACCGCTATGTAAAAACGACTAAGTTGAAAAAAAAACTCTCAATAGATTCGTTCTAAGACTAGGAATAAATTTAAACTATTATGTATCAATTCAATGTTCATAAAAACATAAACTGGGATAATTATGTCTTGCATGTCAAGGGATTTGCGTTATTTTGATCCTAAAAAGGTAAACAGTTGCGATTATGTTCAAAGTATCCTTATCCTTATATTTTATGAATGTTATTTTAACTATGACCATACAAGTTTAAAAATGGTGAAAGAACATTCAAAAGGCGTGGAAAGCTTGGCTAATGAATGTTCAAATCAACTACAATCTGACACTTGATTACCACTAAAGCCATTTTGTGCGCATGGCAAGTATAAAATGTTTAGTACTTATTACTATCTGTGACACACATTATTGTTAAAGATTTAAAAGTCTAAAGTATTAACAATTGATAAACTCTATGATAGGAAAAATTCTATGAAATTATGATAGATCTCTTACGCACGTACCCACAACAACTCACATTTATTAATTAACAGTAAAATAGTTATTAGTACTTAAATTCAATAAAGTCGTTAGTTTTGTTTGAAAAATTATCCTATGTCTAATATTATTTATGTTGTTTTAAATATATCATTGCTTTAATTACTTTACATGATTATTTGATATCGCTTATCTCGATGATGTCAATACATTTTCAAATACCTTTTAAGAACATTATTTAGTTAAACTTAGCACTTACAAGAACAAACTAATTGATAAACTAGAAGTTTCATATTTTAGGTGTAAATAGCGTTAGTGATTGTCTCATTTTGTTAATTCTAAACATGGATAAAGCTTTAGATTTATTTTCGACGTGAAATCGCTCTTTAGTTGAACTAAAACTTATTATAAAGTCACAAGAAGTGTATTTCAAGTATTTATTATAAGTATTGTAATATCGAATCGTGTGGCGTATAGTAGATACATACGATTGAAGCACTTATTAAGGCAGATATTCAGAACATAGAATATGTATGTGAAGCCAATCGAAATACTCTTAACTATTGACATAAGGACTGTAACTTTTAATTTATAATATGAAGAAGTCACATAGTAATTAGTAATTAGAAGAACAGAATTCTATAGTGTGAATTATAGGCCGTCTTGGCGGCAGATGTCGCTGAATCACATTTATAGATGATACTTACAATATACTTATCACAATGAGTATTAGCAGTGAAATATTTACAGCCATCAATAAATCAAAGTACTTTATTGAAATGAATTAAATATTTATTGGATGGGAAAAAACACTTAATTATGGAATCGCCTTTAAAATGCGCGATACCCACCTCGTGTTATTTGAATTCGTTCATTTGTTGACTATCTCTTTCTAATACATTAGGTCGATTACAGACGTCTCCATTCAATAGCTTAACATCCACTATGAATCGTTTAGAATCAATATTATAATCGATAAATTGACTAAATTCTAGAGTCAGGGCTTAAAGTTAGCGTAAGGTACACATGGTAGTGCAAATTCATAAGCACAGCGGTAAAGAGTATTGTTAATGAGTCTTAAATTGATGTAAATATGGTACAGTTTGCTTCACCGCGCTTGTTGCGCCGAGCTCGACCTCCGCGAACGACGTTTCACTTTGCGAGTCACCGTCTCCTCCGTTATCTGGAATCCAACCACAAACAATAAATTTAGCTGTGTGAGGTAAAAGAGAAAAGGTTTAAATTGTTTGACCGACTTCTAATAGTATCGACAAGTAGTAACAACAAGTAGCAGTTAGTTAGGGCGTTATAAATATTTAAGAATTGGTGCAGATATTGCTAAACATAGGTCTAGACAGTAGGCGGTGGCAGACGTAAGCGTGAAATGACACTTCGACACTCGCCTTGCACGAGTCTTCTTCGGGAGCGACAGAACTCACTGCACTGAGCTTCATCTTGGCTAGTTATCATAGATGAAATTACTGATGCTGGTTTGTTGACCGTTTTTTCTTTTCTATTAATACTAATAGATGGACTATCACATAACGGCTATGTTCAACTGGTAATCTTACGTAATGATTTTTTTTTTATTGTTCGCATATTACATTTGAAATACTCAATGTTTATGTAGTTTTATTTATGTGTTGTACCTATTATGGTTCCGTACCTCAAAAGGTAAAAAAGGAACCCTTATAAGATCACTTTCTTGTCCGTGTTGTTACCACCGATTTTCTCGGGAACGGGTGAACTAGCAAGTTAAAATTTATACCAGATACTGAGGTCTATGGTCCCTATTAGGTGTATAAAAATCAAGGTCCTAATTCAACACGCTAAAAGATATGAGCAAATGGCAAATACGCCGCTTTGTTGAGTTGAGTGTTGTGGGTTCGATCCCCACATGGGACGACACTTTGTGTGATTCACAAATTGTTGTTCTGAGTCTGGGTGTTATTTGTGTCCGTTTCATGTATGTTTGTAAAGTCTCCCGCGACACAGGATTTATTCCTAGAGTTGTCTTTTTTAAGAAGAAAAAAAAGAAGAAGAAATTTCGATTTTCGGGTAAACTTGTAAGTACCAAAATTTACCCTAATTTTAAACTTTTTTTTTCAGAATTTTCTCTTTACTTGTGCTGTAAGACCTTGCTTATAACCAAAATTGACAACTCTAGGTCAACCGGAAGTGGGTCGAAAACCTGGTAGTTCCTGTTGACCTAGAATCACGAAATTAGGCAAAAAGAAACGTTTTACAGCACAAATAAATAAAGGAATAATTCCAAAAAATAAAAAAAGTTGAAAATTAAGATAAATTTTAGTACTTACAAATTTTCGCTAAAATCTACGTGAAATCTGGGTAGGTACGGAACCCTAGGCACACGAGTTCGACTCGTACCTGACCGATTTTTTTTGTGGTACTAAAATCTATATATTGACAGTTTCAGTTATACTGGTCAAAAAAATGCGACCGCTGGCAATCTCTAGTATAAATTAACACTTACACAGCTAAGATAAATTGGAGTAAAATGAATATGAAAGTAAATAAAAAAAGGTTTGACGTTAGCAGACACTAATAGTACCTGGCATCACAATCATTTCATTGAGGGCCAGTCTGGCGACTGACTCCAGTGGTTTTGAAGTCATTAAATATATCAAGCGCATACTTACACAAGCAGTGACTCTGGCCGGCACGGGAGGAGGTTGTTTCTTATCTATTTTTGTCTCCTTCTTTACCTCCCCTCCCCTCGTGCTTTCAACCACGCTGCTCCCCGCGACGCTGCTATCCGCGTCGCTGCCGCTACCAACACCACTGGTCGTACTGCTTCGTACGCCGTTGCTCTCTTTGTCGCCACTGGTAGAACTCCTTGCACCGCTACACTCCTGGTGCACAGGAGCGTGAGTTTTCGGCATGAACGTGGTAGCTGAAGATGTGGGGGGAGGGGAGCAGTTGTCGGCGGCTGTGGAGCAGGAGGCGCGCGCTGAGTCGAACCTGTGGTGTGGTACATTGCAATGGATTAGGAATACATTAGTAAAATGGTCTCTTTAGATGTTTACGTTGAGATCCTCACAAAATAAATAAAATGTGTTAATTTATAATTAATTATTATTTTAAGCCCTCAAGCTTTACCCCGAAGGGGTAGATAGAAGTGAATTAAAACAGTGGACGTTTTCACCAACTATACTTTCCAACAAACTTACGTGATTGGGGCGAACCTATTGCTGTCAACCGAGCCCATATTTCTAAATACATGCAAATTATAGATAAGTAACACCCAGACACAGAACAAATGACCGTGATCATCACACAACATTTGTCCTTGGTGGGAATCGAACCCACGGCATCTGGAGCAATCAGGATGTGTCTTTTTGTTTGAATCTAAAAAAATATTATTCAGAACAAGATCGATACAAAATTATTAAAACCCGGACAGAATTTTCCCCAAACCAAATAATGTTGCCGATCAGTTCATAAATTATTTTCTTGACGGTTTTTACAGTCTTGTATAGAAGGTACAGGTGTGAGGCATACCGGTGCGTGTCGGCGTGTCACAAGACGGTGTCGAAGGTCTCGAACGAGTGCAGGAGCGCGGGGTCGCGGCTGCACCAGCGCGCCAGCTCGTCCGGCGTCACCACGCCGTCACAGTTGGTGTCCATAAGCTGTAATTTACGAATTCTTTTTTTTAATTCCGAATTTTTTAAGGCCCGCTGTTTTTAATGCCTGTGTATTTCGCACGGTCAGTACTCGACCTCCAACGATTCCAGTGTGATGTTATATAGTTCGCTACTTTGCACAAGAATTGGGCAAAGTTAAATCATATTCAAAAAACCTTTTCATAATACAATCTATTCGGCGATTGCCCAGATAAAGTTAGTAATAAGCTTTATTAGTTAGTTTAAATTGTACAATTTGTACATCAAATTTTATTGGTTTATTTGACGCCACACTGAATTGCCACACGGGACTATATGACGCTGCTCTCAGTACCTACTTCGTCACCACTGCTCTCACATGAAATATCCTGTCGACGTGGTCCTTGGCGGCGGTACTGTGGACGGGCGGCACCGCGGCCCGCCCCAGCAGCTCGTAGATTGCTTCCACCACGGCTAGCATCTCCGAGCGGGAGATGCGTCCGTCGCCGTCCACGTCGTACAGCGTGAACACCCACGACAGCTTCTCTTGGACGGAGCCGCGCGCCACGCGCGATAGGATGTCGAGGAACTCCTAGAACGTTTACAGGAATATGATCACTATTTTTTAGAACGCGGATTAACGTAACGGATAAAGGAAAGAAGTTTAATAAATAACACTGACTCATCTCACGCGCTGCCGTCTGATCCTAAACTAAGCGGAACCTGTGCGATGTTAATCAGACTGGTAAACATACTTAAATATTTCTTTATACCTACATATTATAGATAAACTACACCCAGACATGATATGATCGTGCTCATCACACAATTATTTGTCCACGACCACGGGCTTAGCAGCCAGGATCACTAACTGTTGGATCACCAGGATAGTCACATCACAACACATATCACTCCTAAATAATTCATAGCACCATATCCAGGTTATATCATATTTACAGTACACATCCATACTCCATACTAATATTATAAATGCAAAAGTGTGTCTGTCTGTCTATCTTTCTGTCTGTCTGTTTGTTACCTCTTCACGCTTAAACCGCTAAACCGATTTAGATGAAATTTGGTAAAGATATAGCCCGAGTCCCGTGGAAGGACATAGCGTAGTTTTCATCAAAGAAATCATCTTTAAGGGAATGGAAGGGGGGGGGAGGTTGAATGGGGAATCAATAACCGCTGAACCGATTTAGATAAAATTTGGTATAAAGATACTCTGATTATTGAGGAAAGACATTACTTATTACTTTTTACCGCGATAACCGACATATAAGCGGGCGGAGCCGCGGGCAAAAGCTGGTAGTTATGTACTCTGTGAATGTATGTGTTCTTCATGAAAGTAATTTACGGACAGCTAGCAGACAGAATGTATTATAACAATCAGACACCTTTTAATGTTTTCATTAACGTGTCCCAAAGTGGTGACGAATCTGCACTTAGCTAATTACTAGAAGGCTAATTCGTGAAATAAAAGTTCAATCTCAATTCAATTCCGATCAAACTTTGATCGCACTTTTACCTTTTATAATTCTACACCACCTGGAGGTCGACTGGGAGAGAATGCCCCATGGCATTAAGACCGCCTTTATACTACGTGTGTATTCAATTTTAAAATAAATAATATATTCTCAGTTTAAGCAAAAGGTTCATATTGAACGTTTTGTTACCCAACACATACTCAGTGTCCATTGGCCAATTGATCATTGAACACAGTGTTGAGCATGCACTCTGCTATTCCACAAACAGAGATAAGGCAGATATTCCAATAAACTGCCACTTGCATTCTTTATATTTCAAACTTTTTAGTAAAAAATTTACAAGTTCATAGTTTTTTTTAAGATGTACCTACATAACTTCCACAAAAGCTTTTTATTTTAAAGCGTAAAGAAAAGAAAAATCATACATAAATTTTAGGACAAAGACAATTTTTTATAGAGTTGTGTTAACATTCGTCACATGGCCTGTAATATACCTCCTTCGCGGCTCTGCTGCCCTGATCTCACTAAGTGTCTCGCCCGACCTTGAGACCGACAAATGGTAGTATTCCTTAATGGTCCTTGCTAAATAAGTCTCACAAACAACACACACCACCAAAGGAGTTGGCAAATTAACTGTTACCCCACGTAAATTTATAAAGTTATCCACAAAATGAAATAAATTTTAATTAAAATGAATAAGGCAGTCGCGACTTGATGATAACGGCCTAACTCCTCATTAACGTGCTTTAGTTAGCTTCACTTGTATGTACGAGTAAAGAACTCTTCAAAGCTAATTGTAACCTACTTGTAACAGTCGTATCAAAGAGTTATCTTGGAACTGTTTTGACCAAGGAGAAGGATTTCATTTGATCAAGAAGTGAGTATGTGGAACTTTTAGGTGTCTATTGGCGGCGGTATTTACCATCAGGTGACAAGTAATTTGCCCCATATTAAATAAAATGTGTTATCTCACCAAATTATCGACTGATAGGTTTTCCGCACCGGTAATCACAAGGTAGAGGCACTAAACTCACGCTAGGCTTTTCATTACACTATGATTAAACCTGCCCCTCTCTCTTCTCAAACTGTGTTTGGCTCGCACCCTGCTCTCTACGGGTTCTTCTTCTAATTCCAATAGCCAATTCTCTATCACGAGCCTCATTGCCACAACTGTCGCCTGTTTTGAATTTTTTTTTTTAAATAATTTTTACTTTAAAATGGACAGAGACAAAAAAATATTGTGCCACCGTTAATGTAGAGTCATTGAAAGTTCGATTTAAAACTAAAACATTTAACAATTAAATCAAGATTCCCTGATCTTTCGTTTACATAAATCTGTTATTGAAATGAACGTTAAATATTTTATTCAAATATGTTTCTCTCGTGGACACTATCAAGTGATTGATGCGAGCGCAGATGGTAGATAGCGCACAGCCTCCCTTCAGAACACCGACGTCTATCATTTGTAGTTAATCGACAGTTTAATAGGGGCGTTGTTTTACGATATCGCACAAATTCTAATCCTTAAGCATTAGAGTGAACTTATCTCACTTTTGGTTTACTAAAATGGTCTATTATGCCGTGTGGTGACGGATTAAAAATACATAGTTCCGCACTCCGCAGGATAACAGCACTGCAAAGAGAAGGAAACTTGAAACAAACCCCTATACCAACCCGTCTGGCCAGCGTGGTATAGTAGGCCAAAACCTCCTTTCTGAGGAGAGGCCTATGTCCAGCAGTGGACTAGTAAAGGCTATGGATGATGAATGAAAATGGTATATTTACCTCGTCGTACAACAAACTGATATAGTTTAATCATATCTGAATGAGAGCTAGTTAGAGGTGGCAGCAATGTTTGGAAAAATATTGTTCTTCATGAAATGTTCTTGATTGGTGTCCAGTGAAGTCAGAGTTTTGTTTATTTGTTTCTACGCATCGCCTGAACTCACAAACGTATTTGTCTGTTCTTTTTGTATTGAATGGAAGCCTATGCTATTAGGGGCAGACATTTGACAATAGAAATATTTCGCTACATATTTTTCAATTGTTGCCAGTCACCCAGCACTAACTAACTTACTCTAACGTAGATGTTTTAAATGAAACGGCATTGGGCGTCTTTACGTCTGTTATATTTACAAATTGAAATAAGATTTCACAGCCCATTACATAGGTTATGAGGTTACAAATAATGGCAATTTCGAACATTTTTATTCACTGATTTTTGTTTTACACTCGAGCCGGAAATGAATCGATCATTATTTCATGTATAGTTTGAAAAAACATTAAAAAAATTGTTTCGGTTAAGAAGTGGTAGTAAATTTAAATATTTACATTTATTATGATGAGTTTGTGTTACAATTAGAAGTCTACAATAATATCGTAGTTGAGTGCTGTTTTCCCAGCTAAGCTACATAATAGCCTGTGTTAGGGATAATACAGTCCTAAACCCTCAGAAATGGTGGAAACCGGTGTAGCACGTGTTTTAATTTGAGTTGAGAAATTGTGCAATTTATTGCCGTTTTGTGTGTGTGTGTGTGTGTGCGTCGATTAATGTCTAGTTTATATATGTTGTGTATGGTGATGTGAGTAGTGTATGTGTGTCTGTATGAGTAATGCTTGACTGTTTCTGTGTGAGTAATGGATGAGTATTATGTATGTTTGTGCTGAGTGGTCTGTATATGAAACAAAACGCCACAAAATTGAAACATTTCTGTATTCGTTGCTCTTTAATGTAACAGAAATAATTAGCTTTATTTCAAACGAACAAAACAAACGAAGACCAGAACTTATTAAAATAAAATAAAATATGGCAAACCAGAGAGTACTGTAAGAGAAGAAAAATGTACAAATACAATACATCAGAATGTGCCTACTTCTGTACAAAATATATACAAATGTATAGACGGTACATATTTGATGTGTAATCAAAGAGACGAGGCGCAAGAGCCGCGGCCTGCCATCGTGCTCGTATCGTTGAACCGGATCCAGAGGAAATGGGGCGGCCGGCGCACTATTTGTTTGGTGTATTTTTTCCATTGATGTGTTTGGTATATTGGGTGAAAAATGAATACCTTCAATATATATTTTATGAGTTTCGCTTTCAACGAAGTATTACACATTGAGTTTTTTAATTAAAATCTTAGGTTTTTTATATTATAATGACATCATAACCGTATTTTTGTATTGCAATCATTGTAAGTATAAAAATGCATATATGTAAGTGAAGAGAATTCTTTGTACACATTTTCAGGAATGTGATATTCGAAATACTTAAAGTTTTTGTGCAGAAGAAGTGCAAAAATCTATTCTTTTATTTAAAAGTTTGTCGAAAACGGCTGTACGAAGCTACATACGTACGAGTATGTCCAGTGTGTGTATTCTGTATCATTATATATTAATACAATTACACAGAAGGCACAAACTTGATACTGGACAAACATAAACATTTTTGCTGTCTAATACGTGTGTATGTCGAATCATCAACCATCTTTTTCTCGAATAATTTCCTTCTGCACTGCTTGATTATAATGCTACTAGTTTGTAGACAGGTTAATTATATTAATATAAACTTGAGCTTAGAACAAAATTTCCTACACAAATGTATCTGTTAAAATAGGCACCAACGAGGCGTCAAGTTTTTACGAGAACTTAATTATTTACTTGGTTTTCCAAAGTTGAAGTTTTAGTGAATGTCCTAGTTCTTAGCTGTTTGAAGAAATGGCGCAAAGGACGCTTAGTTATATCCGTTGGTAGGCGTTGCCAAATAAACTTGCAGCCGCCTTATCTATTCAAATTAGGTTTTTTTAATTCGCAATTTTTAAAGAATGTTTGAAACTAGTAATAATAAACTAGGAATCCTAAACTGCATGTGACCCGATACGTACTTGGACGGTTTATTTCATCATATTATATTAACCGAATTCAAAAATTAAGGTTCTTAATTCAATGCTTTTGGTCTCAGAACTTTTGGTCATTCACAAACCGATTTTTTTTGTCATTAAGGAGGGTATACTGCCCGTTTGGCTCTAAAACCCCCCCCCCCCCCCGCCTTCTAAAGGTTGGAGTCCTAAAAAGTCTGACCACAGTATATCTACAGAACCTCGATCCCACCTAGCTAGGTTGTGGAGGTCTGATAGCGGTCGTTCCAGGTAGAAAATCAAAGTTCACCCGTGTCGAAGTAGTTTGGGAAAAAGTTCAGAGGATTGTGATGATGACTTCCCGTTCCGACCTGAATCATTTTTCAAAAGTTAATTATAATTTGCCGTGTGCCATCGACTACAATAGTAATATTCTTTAAGTCGCTGTCAATATTAATTGCAACCTGTTGTTATTCTAAAACTGTTTCTACTTCTAAATTAACCAAACAGAATGCTGCTTACAAGTCAAAGTTTGTGTAATTAAACTATTGCAGTGGCGTTGACCACCGCGCCCAATCGGTTCCCGAACAATACCTGACTGTGGCTACGATTAGAAGTTTGGGTGAACTCAAGCGAATTAGAGAAGTATATTATGTTAAGTTAATATATTCACAAAGCTGACGACTTGTGATACCCGGCAGAAGTTGGGTTGGGACAGATCTTTTGAATACTTTGTAAGTTTGGAAGTCACCTCGAAACTTAGCGATGGTGGCCCTTTGTTCATTTAACAAATATATACAGGGTTACTGGTTAAGTCGAACTAGATACTTTAGGGGGTAGTAGTATTCATTTTTAGGGTTCCGTACCTCAAAAGATAAAAAAGGAACCCTTATAAGATTACTTTCTTGTCCGTCTGTCCGTGTGTCAATTTTCTCAAGAACGGGTAGACCTAGCAAGTTGAAATTTATACCAGATACTGAGGTCTATAGTCCCTATTAGGTGTATAAAAATCAAGTCCTTCCCTCTTCAAATCAAATCAATACCTTTCTATAACATAATGAACAACAAATTAATAAACTTTTTCAAAACATTTCAAATTAAAAAGTAGAAAATATAATCTACTAAATAAATTATGGTTTAACACGCTTGTAACTAGCCGAACTAGTAGTAGGGGAGCCCGTGATGCCGGGGATTAACTCGAGCGACATGGAGACCTACTGCATCTGATAGTTTAGCTAATAGAATGAATGAAAGTTGTATAATGTTTACACTTTCAGCGATGGGAAAAGCTTCTACAGGTTTTTAAAAATGTAACAGGAGGAAAGCGTAAACAAAATATTCCGGCGCATCAGATATTTTGGGGATATGTTATTTGGACCCCAAAAATACTCCTATTGAAAGGTCTGACGATTTTAAAGTACACAAGCTCGTAGCGAATTATCGAAAATGTAAACTGCAAATTTGAAAAATCGCCATTTTGAAATACCTGAGCGTGTGAGATTCTACGCAGACGGTTCAGCTTGATGTTTCTGTCAACCATTAGTATATCCTTTCAATGTTGTACTCCTGGTACTTCAAGTGAAACTGATTAATGAGTTTTTAAGTATACAATCGAAGCTAATAAATACTTTCTTGGCTTTAGGGTGGGATGGACGTGACGTCGCACGACACGAAGTCAAACCCCTTAGCAAGTATCAAGGTCGTAGGGATGAATTATAGATGTCAACTTATATTGGCAGACCAATTTAATTCCATTAAAACCACTCTAAGCTGCACTCCGTATTACAAGCGCTTTGTAATTCTAGTTTACAATTGAACAGATCCTGTTGTACTGGTTACACGTATATTATATAAGAGATCGAGTATAAATTGAGCTCTGCCTTTGATATCGCTTCGAACAACTTTTGCCTACTTCGTAGAGTTCAAGACAAAGTAGTCGCCATGAAATTTCTTCAAACGACTATTGTAACTTGAAATTAGAGATTTCGCCGCTCGATATAAGTACCATAAAATCAATTTACTTGAACGTACCCTTAAAGTCGTACAAGTTTCACTTTCAAAGCGACCGTTCTGTAGAACAAAACATATAATAATCCATTATAACTTGCTTCAAGCAAATGAGTTCAAATTTAATTGGATTTTATCCACGAACACAATATTTGCCATTGTAAATTGACCTTTTTGAATAGTGTAACTAATTTGAACTAAAGCCAAAAAGCTTCACGAAATGATTATGCATTTTGTGATGTAAGAGACAGATATATGAACTGGCATGCGTGTGAGTGAGAGCTGCCCAGACTGAACGGCTCCGGGGCCTATTGTCAGACACACTCATTGTTTCAATTCAACACAAAGAATTGTATAAATACATTAAGTCTGTGTCAGTTGTTCGTTCACGGGTGACTGCGCCGCTCTATATAATTCAAATACTAAACCTCTATACAAATCATGTTCGCCTGGTAATTGCAATTAGCCATTTTACATAACTAAGGCAGCAAACAAACACATAGCAAAGAAAAGACTATTACGTTTTGTGTAATTCTACGTCATATTTATGGTAATTTTTTTGTGTTATACTTTTGAACAAATGAATACAAGTTTTTTCATGTTTTTATTTAGGGCTATAATAGAGGATCGATGAGTGGACCACTTGACTGCAGGGATGGCGTAGTGGTTTAAACGGTCACCTCGCCGCTTCCTACTGCACTGAGTGATGTGGGTTCGATCACCACATGAGACAACACTTTGTGTAATCCACAAATAGTTGTTCTGAGTCTGGGTGTTCTTTGTGTCCGTTTCATGTATATTTGTAAAGTCCCCCGCGACACAGGATATATTCCAGAGATGTCTTTTAAACAACAAAAAAAATGGATGGTAAGTGGCTACCGCCGCTCATGGACACCTACAACTTGCCTCCTCTTGCACCTCCCCCTCCCCTCCTCCCAGAAAAAGGAAGAGAAGTGTTTTATGACTCTGGTAACCAAAGAATTGGTTTTCTTTGAGGTCGTGGTATCACTCCGGTCGAGCCGGAAACCTCATTTGTGAGGAAGCATGGCTCTCACGGTCAGATCGACAGACCAACAGTATTCTGTCCACCTATCTCCGTTCCTGAATAGGAACCCAAACTATAACAATCGCCACTCTCGTTTTATCTAATTCTTCCAAACCAACAAACACACATTCACACATTCAATTGACTGCACGGTTGGCGTAGTGGTTTAAGCGGTCGCCACGCCGCTTCCTACAACGCCGAGTGTTGTGGGTTCAAACCCCACATGGGACGACACTTTGTGTGATCCACAAATTGTTGTTCTGTGTCTGGGTGTTCTTTGTGTCCGTTTCATGTATGTTTGTAAAGTCCCCGCGACACAGGATATATTCCTAATGCGGGAGTTGTCTTTAAAAAAAAAAAAAAATTGTAGTGATTGTATATGTTGGTTTTACACGTTTCATCACCACTGCTTCGCTCCTAGGGTCTGTAGCTTGAGGTTAAGAATTAGCCTATTGTAAGATTTTTGTTCAATCTGTCCGCTAGATCATAAACAAACCTATTTTGATTTACTTTCGGTCGTTTTGAATTCTTTATTTCATTGCCCAGTATAACTTGAACTATACAATGTCAACATATGTACATATGCAGGACCCTTATAGCTTTATGTAGATGACGTTTTTTTTAAATATTTATATCTTCCTGCACTTCTACACGTTAAATATTCCAAATACGTCAGTGAGTCACGTTTGTTTAAAAAAGGTACAAGGATTCTTTACGTACTAGCTTTTGCGCGTGGCTTCGACCGCGTGTGTGATGGTTATCGAGGTAAAAAGTTATGGTTTAGGCGTGAAAGCGTGACAAACAAACTCACTATCACAATAATATGAGTATGGATAGAAGATAGGTAGGTATGCACATTCTGGTTGTATCGAGGGGGGGGGGGGGGAGGGCGACGCAACAGGTAGAGAGGCAACAAACAAAAGGCCATTGAACCTAAGATCCGCTCGTACTAAATAGCTGTACCAGAGAGACTGTAGGTTCGAAATACTACTTACAATTAAGACATAACTTGTCTCCAAAAGGAAGGTGAATTATCTCTTCCTTGTAGTAATATCTACAATAATTGTAACCAAGTTATTGGCTACCAGATTTGTAACTATATAGGTTTTATATTTTTAACAGCATTTAAATAATTCGATTGTATTACCTTTGTTTGTTACCACAAAACTACGTCATATTAGAACCGATTTGGAAAATTATTTTCGTATTTAGAAGGGCTATACTTCCCGTTTGCGTTTCGGTTGTTGCATTGAAATTGACGATTTGTTTTTAAGAGTTAACTATTATAAGTTGAAACATCTCATACACGACCATTTAATCTCGAACTACAGACAGAACGACAGAGCCTGTACTGTGATAACCAGACTCCTGATAAACAAACGTATTTACTTATCTATGCAAATACTACTAAAAACCAGTTTAAATATTTTTTTCGTCTGTCTGTCTGTGTGTTTCTGGTAATCTTTATATCGGCTGGACCGATTTGACAATATTTCCCTATCAGGTAGCTGTCTATATAAGGAGTAACGTAGGCTATTTGTCCTTTCAGAAAACCCTATTAAATTTCGCCCGGCCCGGGAATCGAACCCGACTGGTTCATGTCATGGACTGCAGTCGCGTATCGTGCTACATCACTAAGACGTCGTAAAGAGGTACCTTAGAGAGCTAGGTGGTAATATATAATTATGTTTATTGATACATACATATTACAGTTAAAATTATATCAAAGTGATTTTATTTTACCATTTTGTCAAAGTGATGAATATTACCCTTGCAAAATTACAGTTTTCTATTACTCAAAATGGTTAATATAAACCGCAGAAAGAGGTATGGACAGCCAGATGGCCGGCGGCCTGGCTGTAACAATTCCCAGTTACTGCCATTCCGTGGCAAAAATAGAATTAATCGTCCTTCAAAACATATTTATTTGGTTTAATGAATTGATCATCAGTTGGATGAGTTTAGATAACTCATCAAGACAACGGAAGCTAAAGATTCGTGTATTTAAATGCATCAAATTATAAATCATAAAAATGAAAACTGCAAATCGTATTGACTGAATTTGAATAGGACCTAAGTGATTGCTCGGCCTCACAGAGAACTGCTGTTTGGTAACTGTTTCTTCGCTTTTCACCGAGCGAGTGAAGGTAAAGGTGACCCAACCAGCCCCCCGGCCCCTATAACTCTAGGTTACATGTAGAATAGTGACACTGCTCGTGTAGCATTTAATGGAATATAAAAAAATGTAACTGTGTCAATAGGTGAAGAAACTTCTACTTCACGGATTCGAGGACATGGATGGCGCACTACAGAGTCAGTTAGCCTGTGACGCCGACCAGTACGAGCTGGTCGAAACGACTGGCAATTCGAAGGTATGTTACATTACATGAACCCGTCAATCCCCATATACATCACAACAACAGCATTTAGCTACTGCTGGACATAGGCTAAATAAAATTGGAGTATCTGTTTGTAATATTAAAATAACCGCTTTTTACTAAATGCATATGTATGTTTACACGGTACATATGCTAAAATAACATTTTTTACAATTTTTGTCTGTCTTTCTGTCTGTCTGTTTGTTCCGGGTAATCTCTGGAACGGCTGGACCGATTTCGACGGGACTTTCACTGGCAGATAGCTGATGACATAAGGAGTAACTTAGGCTACTTTTTTTTAGACTAGCTTCGCCCCGCGGCGTTGCCCGCGGTTATAACAACAAACGCGGGTAACACCGCGGGTCTCAGCTAGTTTCTAATATAATCGGGCCTGTTGGTCCAGTGGTTAGTGACCCTAACTGCTAAACCGGAGGTCGCGGGTTCGATTTCCACCCAGGACAAATATTGTATGATGAGCACGGTCATTTGTTCTGTGTCTGGGTGTAATTTATCTATAATATGTATCAATTTAGAAAACATATAAGCATGTTTATCAGCAGTCTGGTTACCATAGTATAGGATCTGCCTAGTTTGAGATCAGAAGGCCGTGTGTGAGATGTGTGAGATATATATTATAAATTAATTAAATGTCGAAAGTTTTTTTTTTAAAGAAAAAAAATACGTGTAGTTACTATTTTTTCCCAATATACTGAACAAATAGAATCACTTACACATAGTGCGTCGCAAGGAGTATTTGTTGCTTCTGTACGTACCTCGAAGTTGACCTTCCCGCTCTGCTTGTGCTTGATGGTCTTGAACACGTAGTGCGCGTACTGCGTCGCGTCTGAAACCAATCACTCACGTTCATTCATCACCACAGCAATTGCTTCTGTCGAGGTTCACACGATCCCCGCCCAACACCCCCCAACAGTGCACTATACTATATGACATAGAGCAACGCAGTGTGACCGTGTTGCTCTCTATGTCAATTGTGATTCAAAATCTAGTATTATTACTTCGTGATTCGTCTCTGAAGTCATTAAACCTGAACAGTGATCATGCCGATATCGAATTCATTGCTCTGTCTACGTAACTACTCGTAAGGATAACATCTCTTTTTAAATTTAAGAAACTTCTATTTCTTCTATACAAATAAATAAAATTGAAGTGTCTGTTTGTAATGTCAAAATAATAGGCGTTTTTCATGCTGACTCGGTTATTTGCACGATACCTATGCCTAAAAACCAGTTCAAATAGTTTTTTGTCTGTCTGCCTGTCTGTTTATTCCGGGTAATCTTCGAAACGGCTTCGAAAAGTAGTAAACTTTTTACTACATGGTAGCTGTCTGTACAAGGAGTAACTTATTCTATTTTTTCTCACAGTAAAACCCTATAAAAAAATTCCTGGCCCGGGAATCGAACCCCCTAACTACCCACTTTTTAAATTCCACGCGGATGAAGTTGCGGACACCAGCTAGTAACAATATATAAATGTTTAGTATACGCTTCGAATACTCAGCAGTTCTGCACCGCAGAGCAATGAGCAGCATGGCGACCGGCGCGTGCGCCTAGACATGGAAGTTATTGCTACCCTAAAATCTTAAATCATATGATGACATGATTCGCTTCAGTCACTGTGATTTCGCTTGTGATTGTAATTTGTTCATAGACAAAGATAAATGCCATCAAAAACAGTCAAAACTATTTTTAACAAAGATTACGACCTTATATTTTTTCTATATTTAGACCTTTTCTGACGCTAGCGTAATAATAATAATAAGTAGCTGAGGTTTGGAAATTAGTCACAGGTGTGATTATATGATTTATAAATCATATTCCATCCTGTCCGCGATCTTTTATAAATTTACGAGCGGCAATTTAAATTAAAAATTAAATCTTGGGTTCAAACGCACTTTGACTCTTAAGTTACAGGTATCCATGAGCGGCGGTAGCCACTTACCGTCAGGTGATCGACGTGTCTGCTCGTCTGACCCTTTACCAAAATAACAATTGTGTGTTAACACGCAAATAACACCATTCCCCAACTGTAAGACCAATACATTATTTATTTAAGAAACAGTTAGTGGTATTTATCGTGGGTGGTTGGTAGTCGGTGTGATCGCGTCGTAAACGGTGTTTTATTATTTGCTTGGCCGGCCCGTGGCCACGGTACTATTATAATACAGTAGTGTAACTTGGCCGCATGATAGAAATAAATGCCTACAGCCGCGCGGTACGTAAACATGCGTTAGGGCTGCCCGTCTCCAGCATTTTAATTATATTTGCCTACTTTCTGTTTCTATTTAGATTTGTGATTGTAAATATCCTTTTTATATAAATAAATGAAATACTTTGTATATTGAATAGGAAGTGTTCAATAAAAATGCGTGTTGTTTTTTGATTGGTAGATTTAATTATTTTATTTTCTTTCTGCATTGGAGGAGTTCAAGTTTCAATTTTCTTTTTCTTGGAGTGTTGCTAGAGAGACTCGTTGAGGTTTGAGTAAAGATTTCATTTGTTGCATTTTCAGTCTGTGTACTATTTTCATTTCCTACCAACGGAGCAGTTTGGGTTTGTTTATCTTCTTTTAGAGATACTCCTGGATCAGTACTAGCTAAGCTTGGCAGCATCAACAATGGTAGGGCATTTTTTTTTAAAGTTTTCTATTTGATGAATGTAATACATCCTCCAAATTAAAATGTTTTTCACAAACTTGGTAGGAACTGAAGTTAGGTTTGTTTTCCAAATCATCTCTCCGGATCAGTTGCAACCATTGAAGACGTCTGAAAAAATACATGTGACACTCTCAGAGACTGCCGCGATAAAGCTATTGCATAACATTTTTTTTTTAAAGAAAAAAATCTGCGTGGTGTCAGGTATTTTTCGTTAGGTTTTGAGAATTTCCTGATTCGGTCACCTATGCAATAGCTTAAAAATCCTTCTATAGAATAAAGAAATGTGCTTTCTCCTTACGCGTTACAACACTCCAATCCTTAGAAACTCCAACACCTACCTACTCAACTAGAATGCAAGAAACAGCTGACGAGTAAGTAACTTTTTATCTCAGCTTATTAACGTCTCTATAAATTAGGTACCTACCTACAACTCAAAACAAAAATTCTTTGGTCATCAATTAATTAATTATTAAAAAGCTGACCAGCTGACTACGAATGTTTTAAAATCACAACCCTCAAACATCTAAATATTATATATGAGTCTAGCTGTTGTTGTTAATACCGAGAAAATGAAACCAGTTTTTAGTGGTATATGTTGTTATTGTAGCAGCAGAAACACTTTGTGAAAATTTCGAAAACTATCTAATGACACACAGACGGTAAAATTTTTTTTCTAGTATTATTCATACACACAGATAATAAACAAATATTATTAAAAATAAAATACCACGTCTTTACTTTGACTTATGCAAAGTAACAAAACACACATGCACCGAAGTTTTAACACAAGCGTAAGTAGGTAGGTACCTACCGTATCCTGATTCATTCAGAACCGCATATAACTACCTATTTCACTCGTCTCAATAACTTTCCATTACTCTATTCGCTTTATTTATTAATCCAAACACCTTTTTTTTTCGTAAGATAAAAGGAAATACTTATCCATTAAAAAGACACACATTATGTACCTACCTACTAGTAAGTAAAATTATTTTATAGTCTTACCTTTCTGAGTTTCCAGGTAATTTAAAAAAACTTAAGTCTGGATGCGTTATTGACGAATTCATAAAACCAAAAACAACACACCGTCCGTTCGACACTGCGGTACAGCCGTGACTGTCTGCGCCCCGAGCGCACCCCGAGATCGAGGCGCGTAGGTATAGCTCGCGTTTCGTCCGTTTGTATGAAGTTGGAGTACTGTATTATAATTGTACCGTGCCGTGGCCCGCGGCCCGTGGCCCGTGGCGCGTGGCGCGTGGCGCGTGGCCACTGATTACATTAAACAACGCGACTTGAACCGCCGACACTAAACTAACCACAGCTTGTACTGTGGGCGCTAGAACATTTATATATAATACTACCTGAGACCCGCGGTGTTACCCGCGTTTGTTGTTATAACTGCGGACAACGCCGCGGCGAAGCTAGTCTAAAAAAAGTAGCCTAAGTTACTCCTTATGTCATCAGCTATCTGCCAGTGAAAGTCCCGTCGAAATCGGTCCAGCTGTTCGAGAGATTACCCGGAACAAACAGACGGACAGACAGACAGACAAAAATTGAAAAAAAAAAATATTTTGGCATATATACCGTGTAAACATACATATGCATTTAGTAAAAAGCGGTTATTTTAATATTACAAACAGACACTCCAATTTTATTTATTTGTATAGATGTATAGATATTGTTGGCCATGAGTTTGTTTGCCCTTTCTTCTCATAAGGCTCACCCCCTTGGAAACGGGCGGTTGTAGATCGGCACAGGCATATCATACATTTTGTATGGGTTTGATTTTTGTTAAATTTATTTGCTTACTATTTGACAAAACAGAGATTGCTGCTTTTGTGTGTGTTGATCTATGACTTTAAAGCCTACATAAAAGACGATTTCAAACAGTTTTAAAATTTTTATGAAACAAAGAGAGTTTGAGTTTGAATTTTTGAAGTGAAAACTTCTTTATTCCCGTTGGGTAGTTTTGAACAACAGAGTATTAGTAGTAGTATTTTATGGGAAAAAACCATTCAACTCTGTTACCGTTGCCGACACCTCTGTTGAAGTGAAAACTACTTAAGGCGCGTTGGACATTTTTTGAGATGGGGAAAAACAATTGAACTCGCGACCCTGTTACCGTTACCGACACCTCTGTATATCAGTTTTTATTTCTTTGTGCATTTTTTTTAAATTTTATTTATAGTATGGGGGCGTACGAGCAGACGGGTCACAATGTTGACAAGTAACTACCGCCCCCCCCCCCCCCACGGGTACATACAAGAGCTACACGTGAGTTGTCATCTTTTAAGAGCCTCCCCCTCAGAATTAGGAGGGGAAGGGTCATCATCAGCCTATCGCAGTCCACAGCTGGACATAGCCCTCTCCCATTGATCACTTAGATTTGTCGTACCAGCTTAGTTAGTGAAACAACTAGCCTGATTACCTCCGAGGGGGAAGAACTGTGAGAAGATGTTCTTGAAAGCCTCTTCATCCACCACGCCCGACGGACACTCCTGAAACAAGTGAACATATTAATAACTAGGTAGGTCCCAGGCACCAGTCACCACACCACCCTCTTGATCAAACTACGGCTTTGATCTGATGCAAAGGTAAAATCGTGGGTGATTGTGATAGGAATAGTGATAGTGATAATGTAATGTATTGTACTAGTCGAGGCCTTTCATTTAATACCCATAATTCGAGGGTTAAAAAATAACTGTGGCACTCCGGGTGGGCTGACCTCGCTGGCCTGACGGGTTGGCATTGAGTTTGTTTCAAGATATCGCTCTCTTTGTAATGCCCTTGTCATGCGTAGTTTGCTCCCTTTGTCGGCTCTTACGTCACCCACGGGATGAATAGGTGACGAGACTCCGTATTCTTAATCCATCACCATACGGAATCTTAATCCGTCACCACCATGCCGTAGTCCAAAGGTTTTGATAGTAATGTAAATCGTGAAAATTTCGATTTCACGACACAGACTCGGTAGTTACTATGTAGTGCGGCCTGTCTCTGCTAGGTGGCGCTGTAGTATGTTTAGCGCCTATGAGTGCACGTCACGAACCTGTTTGAATCCCCGGTACATGAGTTTGATTTCGTGCGCGCTGAACCTAGTGACCTGTGCTAGCGCGCCGGGCGGCTCCGGCCGGTGGCGCACCGGCACGCCTGCTAACACCGACTCCTCGCACTCCTCCTCTGGGGACAAAAAAAAATGCGATAACAATAAATCATTTAGTTAGAATCAGCAGTTCCTTTATACGTATGTATAATTCTTACATACGCATGTCTGTAATAGATCTCCTGAACCGATGAACCAACTTTGATGAAATTTTGTGCTGGTCAGTGAATCGTATAGATTGATACTTGGACCCAGTTGCTAGCGTCACTGTAAAAACTACATGTAAACTTATTCATTGAGGTTTTGATTTATTTGTAAAGACTTTAATTCATTGTTTATTATTGTGGAAATTAGGAGCTCACGAGAGGTTCAAAGCTAAATGGTAACAGAATAGGTTAGTACATTGCAAAGTTAGTTACATAGCGTACCGGATCAGCAAGTTGAAGTGGCAGTGGGCTGGCCATATTAGCCGCAGAACCGATAACCGTTGGGGAAAACGAGTTCTTGAGTGGAGACCGCGTCTCGGCAAACGTAGTGTAGGACGCCCACAGGCCAGGTGGAGTGACGATTTGCGCAAGATGGCTGGCAGGAGCTGGATGCGAGAAGCCCAAAATCGATCTAAGTGGCGTGCAATGGGAGAGGCCTATGTCCAGCAGTGGACTGCGATAGGCTGATGATGATGATGATGAAAGTTAAACAAACCTAGCCAGGTTAGTCTGTGGCAATCGTTACAGAACTATCTACAGAACTTCGATATCGACTAGTACTTGGGTTGTGGAAGTCTGAAGGCAGTCGCGCCGCGTAAAAATCTAAGTGCTAATAGTAATTCTAAAAGCCGACCCCTTAGTTTGGGAACAGTTTCGGAGGATGGATGAAGGACAAAGACTGTAGGCGCACTGATATACTCGTATACATGTACATATAAATACATAAAGTTTCACAAATGTGAAGGCTGACCTTTCTAAATACAATCGGTTTCCTCGCGACGTACGCGGGGCCCCATTCGTACACATCAGTCGAAAGTCACGCGAAGCATTTGTTGGGAAGGGCTCGGACGGGGCGGCTTATTTGTTACACCTAATTAACGCTAGAAGTCGCCACTTACTTTGAAACTGTACCACGGACTTCTTCTAAAAGGTCTCTGCAATATGTGAGGTAGTTTTGTTGTTGAAACTAAATGTTTATAAATATGTTTTCGAGAAACCAGTATTTTACAATTCTTTTGTTGCTTTTCATCGAGTGAGTGAGGTTAAGGGAGCCCAAACCCTCTCCCTTCCTATCGTAATTTATGTACAGGATGTAAGGGACGTCGTAACGAATACTGAAATAGTGTATGCAGACCATCATTCTGAGTCGAAATTCATTGGATTTTTCTGCCGGAAAATTAAACGTTTTATGCAATCAGCTGTCAAAGGTTAAGGTCATTCTGAAGGTACGATAGCATTTTTTTATTTTTGGAACGAAGTTCCTTATCGCGCGTTGTGAAAGGGGGCTAGACGAAAAAAATTCTCACGAAAAGTTGTAACGACACTTTTTATTTTGAATTGTCACTTGTCAGTTATTCAGCGCCATCTATCGAATAGATAGGAAATCATTACTTTACATCTCAGTAAAATTAAAATTTATGTTCTTAGGTTGAGCAAAAAATATTGTATTCAACATCATTTCTCAAGGAGATTTTACCAATGTATAAATTGTTTTAATTAGAAACCAACTGAAAAATATGTAGGTAATAGCCGCTTTCATAGATAGCGTTGTAATTAAAATCGGGTCGAATCAGTTTTAGTCGTTCGTCACAACTTCGTTCCTATCGGGTGTCCCACGACACCACACGGCTTTTTTATTTCAAAATATATAATCACATCAACAGCCTTTAATAGTTCACTCCTGGACATAGGCCTCTACTTAGAAAGGAGGTTTTGGCCCCCTAAACCACGCTGGTAGTCTAAAAAAAGTAGCCTAAGTTACTCCTTATGTCATCAGCTATCTGCCAGTGAAAGTCCCGTAGAAATCAGTCCAGCCGTTCCAAAGATGACCCGGAACAAACAGACAGACAGACAAAAATTGTAAAAAAATGGGTTTTTGGCATATGTACCGTGTAAACATACATATGCATTTAGTAAAAAGCGGTTCTTTTAATAATAGGTCTTTACCTATGAAATTGCCGTTTTGTATGCAATAAGTGAAAGTACTTATTTTTTCAAACTTTTTTATTTCTGTTATTCGAAGTAAAAGTAAAGTAAAAGTAAAAGTTGTCTAAATTTTGGAAAAAGTAATAGTCGGTAGGTGCAAGGTCTGGTGAGTACCAAGCAACCAGCTTTGGTCAATCGGTCGTCCCCACTGCTCCTTCACGACAACGCGCGACCCCATACTGCGCAACAGACAGTCTCCAAGCTGTGAGAGCTGGGGTTGGAAGCTCTCCCTCATCCGCCATACTCACCAGACCTTGCACCTACCGACTATTACTTTTTCCAAAATTTAGACAACTTTTTAGTGGGTAAAAAATTCAATTCCCGAGAGGCAGTACAAAATGCCTTTGAAGAGTTTGTTGCCTCCCGTCCAGCTGATTTTTACAAGAAGGGCATCAATAAACTGCCAATGCGTTGGCAAAGATGCGTCGATTGCATGGGTGATTACTTCGAATATCAGAAATAAAAAAGTTTGAAAAAATAAGTACTTTCTCTTATTGCATACAAAACGGCAATTTCATAGGTAAAGACCTAATATTACAAACAGACACTCCAATTTTATTTATTTGTATAGATATCCATGTATTCAGAAACATATAAATATGTTTATCAGTAGTCTGCTTATCATAGTACAGGCCCTGTTTAGGACCAGACGGCCGCGTGTGTGATGTGTAATTATTATTATAAAGGAAAGATCATGGGAGGGCCTTTAATATATTAGAAAAGTTAAAAAAAAATATCTATACTAATATTATAAAGCTGAAGAGTTTGTTTGTTTGTTTGAACGCGCTAATCTCAGGAACTACTGGTCCGATTTGAAAAATTCTTTCAGTGTTAGATAGCCCATTTATCGAGGAAGGCTATAGGCTATATATCATATAGCTAAGAGCAATAGGAGCGGAGCACCAATGAAGAATGTTTCAAAAACGGAGAAAATTTATTACTATTGGGAGACGCAGACGAAGTTGCGCGGGTCAGCTAGTGTACATATAAACAGAGGCGTGTTAAACGCCCATCTTTGACCGTCCATAATATCATTCCCACGTAATAGGGACGCGATAGGAACAGATTAGAAATAGGGATTTTAATATAAAAAGGAAAGTTGTTTTGGGAAAGCAATGTAAGGAAAAGAATATTGTTTATAATGAATTGGAGAGTGTGAGCCAGAGCTCGGGTGTAATTATTGGGAATATTGATCGTTTTGTGTTGTTTGATGTCAACGACCAATATAACTTGAACTGTCATTGTATAGATTTTGGTACCTCAGCAGATAAATATCTACACAGCCGTTTTTACATAATATTTAACTTTATAGCATATTAATAAATATACTCGTAAATATTTCAGACAACAAAATAGTTTTAAACTAAGCAGAACTTGTACTATTAAAGTTAGATTGACCGATAGGATAATTTCTACCTTTTCTTTTATAAATTCATACACATTGAAAACACTCAAACTCCGAAACAGTTATTTGCAGATCATTTGGTCCGACTCACAGCAGTCGCATAACCTAAGCACAGCAGTCGCATAAGCTACCACAGCACCATCACATTGTTTAATTTTCAGCTTTGCGTGTCAATTCGGGGAGGACATGAAATAACATGGTCCAGGTCCTCCCAGACTACGGCACCTGAGGCCGGTCGTAGGGGTTGTTTTTTAGTGGAATCACCACATACTCCTGGCTTCTGAGTCCCCGAGGAGCAGGAGATCCGAAAGGATTGCCCATCCCGACAAAAAAAGAAAAGCTTTGCGCACTTCAACATATAAATAATAAGTTTTGATGATAGGCGTCGAGATTTTCAGTCTGATTGTACCGACAATCGATGCGACGACAGACCAGGGGCTATTGTGGAGACGAACAAACGTACGTATTAATATATAGATATATTTAAACGTCTGATAAAGTTTAAAATAACGATAAATAGTCTTTCCTTGACAACTCGTCGAATCCTTCGCTGTGGGACACTACAAAGTCTCCATAAGGTCAATTCTTGTAATAAAAATTTAGTTCCAATCTACTCTCTATCTACTGTAAGTGACCATTGCCGCCCATAGACACCTATAAGTGAACGGACACGAGAGCCCTGACTGCCCCGTTTTGCGAAACACGCACCGACTTTCTAAAAGAGCGTGGTATCACTCGAGCCGACACAATTGTACCAAAGCATGAGCTTCCCATCCATCAACAAATTGACCTTTTTGATATGTATACACATTATAATTTGTATTTAATATATTTAAACTGTATTTAATATAAAAAATCAAGAAAAAAAAATCTCAAGTCTCAATCAAGTATAAAAAAAAAAACTAATTCTGTAAAAATTTCAACCTTTTCTTCTTAATACAACAAAAATTACTGTGGTGACATAAATACTGCAAGTTCTCTGCGCATCACATCGCGCAGTCTCTGACGGTTGCCATGGTTTGTTTGGCTAAAGAAATACTCGTAGCTAAAACACGTTGTTGGGGCTGTCAAATTCCCAATAATTGTGAGGGTTTCCCTCGATTTCTCTAAGATCCCATCATCAGATCCTGAATTTGTGGTAATGAGACCAATTCGGGAGCATACCCTTTCGATTACAAAAAGAATTTTGAAAATCGGTCCACAATTGACGGAGAAATCGCGGAACAAACATACATAAAAAAAAAAATATAGACGAATTGAGAACCTCCTCTTTTGTGTTTTGGAAGTCGATTAAAAAATAGAAGAGTGTACTTACCATCTGGATGTCACATCTAGTTAATAATTTCAAGTAACATCTTTGGTTCAGTTGCTTGGATTCCCATTGTTTTCTGTGTTCGAGTGTTTTGCAAGTTCGTAATCTTACGCAAAATATATTTGACTACCCACTTTTATTTTATATTATATTCAAACGCTCAATGGATTTATTTTGTTTTACTTTTATGTATGTTTTCCCAGTAAGTGAATTTTGTAAATTCTTTTGAGAAATAAAGATTCTTAAACCAGTAAAAA